TGATTACATAAAGTCTATACCTCACCACAGAAGGATCAGCACCTCTAAAAAATCATAGGAGTCTATATCAGAAACGCAAGCACTTCCTACGCTAAAAGGGATAAAAAACCATTTGCTCTTTTGCGTAAAGAATCTTTTTCTGAAATAAAAAGGAAAGGAAACACCATTGTTTTCACCTAATAAAAAGGTGATTATATGAATCTGCTCCACTTTCTTTATATTTTAAATAATAAAAAAATACTGGTAACCCACCATAGGATTTGTTGAAGATACAAGTTCCAGTGTCAAGGTTTAAATGAATTTTCCATTTAAAAAAATAATGTTCTCAACTTAGTTTCAAAACAGTAACATGTATGCACCTAAATTCATAAAAATAAAATGGCATATTTATTTGCTTTGATAAAATTGCATAAGTGAGATGCAAAGAAAGTATAAGCACCAATAGAAAAGATATAAAAACATGTATTTATTAGTGTACGAAATAAAGAACTTATCAACAAAGGAACTTTTCGCACCTTAGCATTTGGGATGAGGGGTAGGCATAAATAGAGGGTTCACTTTTCAGCAACAAAAAAAAGATTTGTTTAAAACTCTAGGGGCAAAGTTAGTATTACGGGGAGGGTGTATTGCATTCGCCTTAATTTATTGGAAGAGCTGGAAAGAAGTTCTTATGTGCAGGATTAGATAATCTCAAGGGATCTTTGATTAGTCGTTTTCAACCATTATGGCTCAAAGACGTTGTAGATCTGCCCTTTTCTAAAGACGAAAAACTGTCGTACCGCCATTATTTAATCGCAAATCCTCTTATTCCTTTCTAACGAAATGTGTTAGTAAGGATATCAAAATTTAATTTCTGCTGTTGAATTTTTCCATCTAGCAATGTTGTTGGTTCTTCCATCATCTGAATAATAATTATACGAATCCAAAACGTGCGCATCTGATTTTATTTAGGGTAAACCATAGGGATTTACGTATGGTTCATTATAATAATAGCATGAAATTTAGATATGGTATTCACCGAAGTTAAAAGATAAACTAGTTTGTCTACTCATCAATTTTTGATTAGATAAAAGTATAGAATTTTTGAAATAAAAGTGCCATGGGAAAAAATGATGACACTGAATATACGTAAAAGGGGTGCCTATGTAGAAGAGGCAGGCTGCTATAAAATAAAAAACAATCATAAATGATGAAGAGAAAAAAAAACAGTGCGCAGGTAAGCAAAATATCTATATTGAGATAGAAGAAATCACTTAAATCACACACTCACAATTCCTTTCATAAAAATCTCTCTCTCTATATATATATGATTGACAACAACCTCGAAGTCCGAGTTATAATTTGATCCATTGATAGTTATACACAGAGGGTATTCGAAATTCAACCTCCTTCAGGTGTATATAAAAAAGCAGGATCCTTGGCTTAAAAGACGGCAGATTTACATTTTTTCTTCATATTTTCTGATTTCCCTTTTCCATGAACACTAGTGGGCAGCGCTTTCATCTATCAAATCCTTTTGTATAGAGGCCTGTCGCGCGGCAGTTCTCACTCTCTCTGCTTTTTTAAGCTTCTTACGCTGCGTTGCCGTTAGTGGGAAAGTGAGGTTGGAAGAAAACTCATTTTCTCTTTCCCCAATTTTCTCCATCGAGAAGGAAAAGTTAAGTGTATGATCCTCGTTTTCATTTTCGCAAGTCGCGTTGTCTATTTCCTGAATTCGGAGCTGCGGAACGTAGACTTCCATGTCCTCCACCTTGATCTGAAGGCAATCCGTGCGTTTGGTTACACAGATAGTTGTATTTACTTGGGGCCGTTGATTAGGCAAGGCAGCCGACGACGGCAACGAAAAATGCGGGGGCGGAAAGAACATCCCATTTGTGCAGTTTTCCTCCAAAAACAGTGGTGAGATTGGCTCCGGCTGCGCGGACTCCTGGTTGGGGCTGTTCGAAGCCGAAAGCGGGTGCCGCGCGGGCATCTTCCTGCGATAGCCGCGCAGGACGTGGAGGAGGGGGAGTAGTGGGAGGTTGGGAACCCGCACGCCGTCCTTTTTCGATTGAGGAAAGGAGACCACAGTGATTTTCGTGAACTCGTCCGAGAGCTGGCGGGATTCGGAGACGAGTTGGTAGTAGGCCGCAACGCCATGGCAGAGCAGACGGCCGTAGCCGTCGCGAAAGCGAAAGACCAGGGAATCCAATGTCGAGGCCCGTTTTATCATCTCGGCGAAGCAGACATCGAGGTCCTCGATCTGGGAGCAGAGGAATTCGCTGTTGAGGGCGTGGTGAAGCTCCCCGCGGAGGCGAGTGTTGAGGGCCTGGAAGCGAACTTCGGCAGAATCCGGATCCCGCATAGATTGCGCGCTGCCTGTTGGTGACTTGACCCCCAGCTTTGCCAGTTCCCACGCCTGTGCCTCGTCGGCCTTTTCAAAGACCCGCTGTACTGACGGCGGGAGATCAGTAAAAAACGGACGCAAAGGCCGCATATCCTTATCCTCCTCCTCGTCGTTGTCGTCGTCTTCATCCTCTCCCTTCTCTTTGTTGAGGTGCTTCCGGTTGTTCTCCCTACGCCAGGCGCGGTTCTTCTCCAGCAGCTCTATCCCCATTGGGGTGGCGAAGTAGTCATTGAGGAGTCGATTCCGCCGTTTTTTATTCACCGGGGTGTAGATCCCCGGGTACTTTTTAAATTGACCCCAACCCCCCCGTCGGGTCGACGTGAGGGCGAGCTCGGTATCGGTCATCGGCCGCCGCGCGGCCGGGTCGAGGACGGTGGGCTGCGAGAGAAGGGTACATCGCGGGGTGAACCAGAGATCCCCGTCGCTGGTCTCGGAGTAGTCCTCGCGAGTCAGGACGAGGTCGCCCTCGGGGCTGTAGCCCAGGCTGCGGCGGTGGAGCTGGCGGCCCCCGGGCTTGTAAAGGCCGTAGGCGTGGAAATGAAGGGCCTGAGCATAGCGGTGGGGCCCCGCTCGGATAGCCAGGGTCTCCGTGGCGCGGTCGTGGAGAGCGGCGTTGGCGGAGAGGGGGGCCCGTGCCACGTTCGTCAGCGTCAGCGTGCGACCCCAGCGAGGGTTCCGCGGATGGCGAGGGGTGATCAAAGGGACCGGCAGGGGAAGGCCAGGGGCGGTCGGACCATGGGGCGTCTCCGGGCTTCGCATTTGTAACAGGGAAAAGGACGAATAAAAGCAAGGGCGCTTTGGTCAGTCCAACCCAACCGAGAAAGAGAGTAACAGAGAGTAACAGAGTAACAGTGTAACAGAGAGTAACAGAGTAACAGTGTAACAGAGAGTAACAGAGTAACAGAGAGTAGAAAGAGAAAAATGAGATGTCACAGTTGGGGATGTGCAAGCGGGAGAAGCATCGAGAAGGGACCCACTCCGGCCCAGACGAACACGGGGTTTGGGGGAAAAATGTGTGAGGGCTGTGTAACGGTGTTTGGATAGTTCACCGCATAGAGTGAACTCCCACACACTATGATTAAAACCCACTTCATTGGTGAAATGCGCTTTACAGAACTAACGGCACCTTTTCTACTTTCCCATATTCCTTCCTTTATGAACTAAAGCAATAAACACAATATACTCGGTATCCTATAAATTGTAAATTATCAACACTTGGTATATCGGAAGAGTTGCTTTAGTACTCATCATCAAGCAGGTCTCCTGTTCAGCGCTTTATTTTAGTTGCTATCCCCAGTGGAATCGTGTACCGCCTTTCCGCGCGCTCGCTGTGCTTCCTCACGGCGAAGGTGAGCATCAACATTTGCGGGGATCCGTAGCTGCGTATCGAGCTTCGTGCTCACGTAATCATACGGAAGCTTCCGGCTGAGAGATGACACCGAGCTAAAGGAATGAGAGGAGAGAAGATTCTCAAAGGTCTCCACATCCATCCCGACCCCCGTCGCGCATCCCTCTAGAAAGATCATCATTGCCGCATTCCGCGAGTCCGCCGCTTTGATGAGTAAATTATAAAGCGCACAGTCCGCTGCCACCGCAGGCTCACCTTTTGGCGTGTTCAAGACGTGCTCGAAAAAGATCTCAATCACAGAGGAGAAGTCTGGCGTTGGCAACGTCGCGTACATCCGCATCATAATTTCTACCAACTCACGCTTTTCAGGCTTCCTTAGGGCAAATTGCTTTCGGATAAAAAGAAAAAGCGAGGCGGCCTCGTCGAGGAGGTACTCCCGCGCACAACGGCGGAGGAGGGAGGTCCACACGTTAAAAGGCACCGCCGAATCCCCTGCCGCGTGCAGGCTGCTGCAAATCTTGACGAGTTGCATCGCACTCCGAACGGATAATCCACTCACCAAATCGTTAAGAACCCCCCACGAGGATCGAAAGAGAACCGAAGAATCAATTAATCGCTTGACATCGTCGACAACGATCGCTTTTAGCCCACCATCCATCCGAATTGACTTCGCTGTTGACATCAACTTCACGAGCAGGTTGAGCTGAAGTTTTTGGATGAGTGGATTGGTACTTTTAGTCGTTAAACTCCCTGGATGACGTAGTAAAGATGAGAATGAGGAGGTGAACCCGCGATCATCACCTTCTTTAAGATGCTTGGAGATGGGATAATCGCAGATTAATCCTCTCGCGTTGGCTTCGTGAAAGTATCGTAAGCATCGCTCGATGTCGTGGCTGCGAACGCACCACGCGAGTACGGCGTAAACACAGCGATATGGTAATGGTGCCTTTAAAATACCCTCAGGAGGGCTCTCCAATAAAGATGATTTCGCAGGATGAGCTGCATCAGAATGCACAGAAAGGGATTTCATATGTTCGGGAAGCATAATAACCATTTGATCGCAGAAATCGCACAACTTTTTCCACCAAAGATCCATTAGCGTGGGGTCTATATCCGTTAGTGCACAAAGCTCCAAAAAGCAACCCCAAAGCGGTAAATATTTCTCACCGCCTTTTTCGTTTAAAAGTTTCCCAGGTGAAGGGGTTGAGTTTTTGTTGGAGAGTTGCGCGAGGGCATGTCCCATATAGCGTCCTGCAAGATCCCCCGATGCCGCGCGATCCAAGATGCAGGGCTGCCCAAGGACATATTGCTTCGGTTTATTCTCTTCAACTCCTTCTAACACGTTAACATTTAACATTATAAGCGAACGAATAATGGATTCGTAAATCTCATGATTTGGAAGAAGTCCATCCTTCGTTGACATTTCATCTAGAATAACCTTCACATCTGTATTGCTTTTTACAAATTCACTACAAATAAGAAGGCTATAAAAACGATAAATTGCCTTCTGCTCATCGTGCATGTCAATACCTCCATGATTTCTTCGTAACCAAGCGTCTCGTAGTAAGGAAATAACGCGTCCATTTAACGCGCATTCTTTTTCATCTGTCAAGGATTTACTCGAAAGCAGGTCATTTAACTCCCGCGAGTATGTTTCTTTGTCGAGATATAAAAGCAAACGCCTCATTTCTGTGCGATATTTTTTAAGGATATCAATCACCACTTGATCGCGATATGATGCCTGGCGATTTTCTAAAAGGGCATCGAAAGCATCGCAAAATGCTATTCGCTGCTCATCGATTAGCTCCAAATAAGATTTCTCAACATTGGAAGTATTATTCACTTCAAAAAAAGGCAATAAAGAAGAGGAAGAACCCTTTTCGACAACTTCTTTATCGTTTTTAACGCTATTTGGATAGCGAAGCGGCGGTACTGCATCCCGACGAATCGCATTAACGCGAATGTGGCGCCTGGGGAATAATAAAACAAACTCACCGTTTAGATGATTCACATTAACTTTCCGAGACGGCCAGAAAGTATTACGCAAAGATGAAAGAAGCAGATGTCTTTTCATATGTTTATAGTGAAAATATATTGGCTTTGTTATGTTAAAATCAAGGGTGGTAAAAGAGAAATGATAAATTTCACTACATAAAAAAAAGACCGTTAATCAAAAATGTCAATGGTTCAAATTAATGAAAAAATTCTTTTCAAATAGTACATCTCCCCCTAAAAATGGTAAAAGTTTGAGAATAACGGCCGTACAATAACTAGGAGCACGCCGACGTTGTAAATCGTTCCATTATTATATCCAGCGAAGGAGTTCAACACAGTAACTACAGTACTGAAAAAATAAGAAAATCCATGATTAGCAACAAATGGAAGAAAAATTAATATATATCTATATCTATATTTTTATATAGATATACTGGTTTCTAATCCATTTTTTCACCATACATTGTCAAAGATACAAACCAATACACTGCTTTGTCGTGTAAAAATTGAACCGATTCTTTTTTTCTTTCATTTTTTTTGTGGGTTGAGATGATGCTTTCATGGAATGAATTCCATGATTGGCCATATCCTTTTCATCAGGATAATCTACCCAGACAGAGCCATCCTGCACACTTCTCTCAAGAGCAGCATACGCGCGATGGGGAGGCCACTGTAATCCCCCCGAAACCTGCTCTAATGTTAAAAAAACGCACTCCCTAAGACGTGGAATACCTTCATCCTGTTCAGTTGGGTCGGTATTGGTCGAAAGAGGATGTGTGCCCAGCACGTACGCGGCACCTAACGGCGAAGAACCCGACAAGGGGGGTGCTCTGGAATCGAGATTCGAGCCCTTTTCAGCTCCTTTGGTTCCTTTACTCAATGAAGGCGACGAAGTAGCGCCGATAGAATTTGCCTTTTTACTCATCATTTTCTGTGCCTTTTGCTGATCGAGTACAAAGTTTAATAACGACACAATGTCGTCCCCACAGACGCCATCGGGCGTTGTTTGGACATATTTCACGCCGGATAATGTAATAATATTATACCCCGCCCCAAGGCAATGAAGCTTTTTTAACGCCATCACTACATCCTCCTCGGAGATGGTCAAGCGATCGTTTCCATTGGACGATTTGGCGTCCGTTTGGGAAAAATTGGCCTGACGGTCATAAACGCGCTGAACGGCGTGGAGGGCCTTCTGCAGGGGGACGTACGAGCCGCAGAACTTTTGCTCCGCCATGCAGGCCTCCACCAACCTCCTGGCGAGGTCGTAGTAGAAATTCCCGAGCCCCAAGGCCCCAGAGAAGATATTTTGGCTGGAGGAGATGAGATCCACCCCGATGGAGTCCGCGATCTGGCGGAATCGTGCGCGGACAATGGGGTCGTTTCGGATTTCTTTTTCATGTTTTTTCATCAGCTGGCGGAGATTACCCTCGAGGTCGTCGAGCTGGTCCGCGATGTTGGCGACCCGCTCGGCGGTGATCTGCGCGCCGAGCTCGGTCATCCGCTGCTGCGTTTGTTGCTGTTGTTGAACATGCGAGACACCAACCCCACGACGCATATCTATTTTTATTAAATATCAAAATACCCTATTTAAAAAATCAATGTGGATACAAATAATACGACGTTTGTTATTGTATTTTAGGGTTGTTTCATTATTTTTTAGTGGCTATCTATTACCAAAGGAAAGGAGAAAAAAAAAGCGCATTCCATAAATATCAAAAAAAAAGAAGAACTATTCATTTTATCACTCTTTTTTTTTTAAATACTCCATATTTTTAGCAGTAATAACAAAGCGATATTTTTGTATCGAAATAGTTGTGTGTTATTTTTTTCTTAATTACTACCAACATTCCTTCTTCACGTCTTACTATCCCGATAAGAAAGTAAGGTTGAAAAGGGATGTGGCAGAGCTTCCCTTTTCTACAGAACGATCGAGCTCAGTATAAGATCCAGAAAGGTATATGGCTTTACGATTTAACTTCAATACCAATGCTACAAACATTTTCACTTTTTGCAGTTGTCGGTCCTAATGCTGTTTGTACAAATTCTGATTACATTGAATAGATCGTTCGTACTATTAAGCTCAAACCAGCTGAGGATAGTCTGATGTCAATCCGTAGTCTGTGAGCCAACTTTAAAGTCACGAAACTGGATGATTTGACCTTTCGAGTAGGCTACCATCAGCAAGGGGGCTTCCTTATCAGAATTGTCGCCATCACCAGTGAAAATAACGAGCCAATTTTCGTTTGGTGATTTGGTACGATTGCGGATCGTTAGTATGAGTATTTCTAACAATGGCATCAAGTAAAAAAACGATCGCTGCATATCTCGAAGAGGTCCTCCACCGTGCTTTTCTTCTTTACTTTTGTCTCGGCAAAACGTGCACTCTGCCCGTACACGGCGTCTGCTGTTATTTACACCGTCATCCTAAACACCTTCGCGATTTCATTATAATAAATCGAACTCCAACCATCGCAGAGGAGATATTTTTGATAGGTATTACAATAGGCTACTTTGTTAAGCCCTTGGGATATTATGCCCGTACACTTGAAGTCGAAGAGCCCCACCCGCGTGGGGGTCGGCCCGAAGCCCTGCGCAGATCCCCCCCGTTCGCGTTCGGCAGTTGGGTGAAGGGGAGGTGGGTGGGCCCCATGCAGGCCGCCCCCCGCCTCGTCCAGAAAAAGGAGTTTCGGCGCCATCGCTGTCGGGTTCGGGATCACGCCGAGGGCAAGGAGCGGCAAAATAATTAAAATCCTCATGAAGAGGAGGCCGCGGGGGAGGGCCCAGCTGACGGCCTCGCTTCTGGGAGTCCCTGCCGGAGAAACCCCGTGGGCTTCATTACCAGAGAAGATGTGTGTGTGTGTGTGTGAGGGAGGGAAATGGCTCAATACCCCCCCCTTCTGTGAAGTCGATGGACAGTAAGGCCTGAAAAGATGAAATGGTAACCGACACCGAAAAGAGACATTTAAGAGGAGGGAAGGGGGACTATTTTTATATGGAAAGGAAAAAAAAATAACAAAAAAACAAAAAGTGTTGGAACTATACGGTGTCTAACGTAGAACATGGTTTAAGAAAACAGAGACACACGACTTGTGAGGTTTTAGGCATTTCTTCACATTTTACTTAGAAGAAAAATAAGCAAGAGTATAGTTTTCCTTTTAATGTAACGTTTCACCTGAATTAAACTATGTAAACAATTAGAACAATAACGCTATCTTTCCTGAAACCTATTCTGCAGATACGTCAAACAATATATCTAGCAATTACATAAATCTTTTCTACCAGGCATTAAATGGTTTAGAATGAATGACACGGAGAGCGACATGCTAAATAAAATTCTGAAATATGATTAATTTTTTATTCTGAAAGTTTAGTGGAGTAAATGATAAAAAAAAAGATAGATACACTACTCTTTTTTTGACTGGAAAAAAGAAGGTGTGAGATAAGCACGATTCACCTAGATATTGGGATATATATATATATATAGATAGATAGATATAGATATATATTATTTTACATTCTACACCGTAGCGTTAAATTGTATTCATTTGCTGGAAGTAAGTTCATTTCCAAATCATGCCCAAGAAGATCTGTATCAAACAGCACCTTCTCATCCATAAAAAGCAGTGTATTATCTTCGGATATCAAATTACCCATTGGCAGTAATTTATTCTCCGTCAGACGTTCTAAAAACCTTTCCTTGATGTCCCTCACTCGATCCGATGGCCGTGCCATGATGATAAAAATAAGATCTTTCGCTGATGGAAACGTCGAAGGATGGGGATCGGGTGAATCCGAAACGGCATGACGATCCCCCCCGATGTCCAATTTGAGGTTCAATCGTATTCTACTCGCCTCCTTTCCTAAAGTGGAGGAGGCCTCGTCCAAATGCCACGACTCCGCCGCCGCCCCCCGCGGCGATTTGCTATTCCGGATGGCATGAACGCGGTTCGGGTCCATCATCAGCGCCCTCATCGCCTCCAGCTGAGTTTGCAGACTCAAAATACTACATCGGACGTCTTCCAGGGGGGGAAGCCGGAGGCTCTTGAGGCCGTTCCGCGTTGCCTCCTCCATCCCGGCCATCTGGCGCGCGAGGCGGGTTTGGTCCTCCCTCGACTCCTCCAGCCGCCGCGCGAGGGCCTTCACGCGGCGGCCGAGCTCCAGCACCTCGTTCTGCACGGCCGGGAGGTCGTAGGGGAGGAAACTGCTGTCCTCGTTCGGGGCCTCGGCCTCGTCCTCTTCCTCGCGCTCGCGGGGGTCGTGGTCGGTGCTGGAGGATTCGTTCGCGGAGGTGGTCTCGGCGAGGCGCTCGCGCCCGGAGGCCTCGACGGAAATACTGCAGAGCGAAAGCCCCGCGGTCTCGCTGACCAGGCCCCCCCCGAGCGGCGGCGAGCGCAGCTTCGGCGCGCCCGCCCGGAGGGCGACCTTTCCG